GAATTTCATACCAAACACCTTGTGCTTCACTCTCTGACCCAAACGGAATGCATATTGAGCATCTTCGTAAGCTTGGGCTCTCACTGATGCAGCCACTGATTCAGACTCAATTTTGGAGATTTGATCTCGAATATTGGCAGCCACACTGTAGCTTTCACTTTGAACAGCATTCAGCAGGTCTGCACTGAATGAAGGACAAATTAAACAATGGTGTTTAGAAACACAAGATGGGTGGTACATTAAAGACCATATGAGCTTAAAGTTAAATCTTTTCCGATTGTTACTATTCGGTAACAAAAACAACCAAATATAATCCCAACTCTGTGGTGTATGTGGTGGTGGGGGGAGGCAAGATGTATGCAATCCCACCTCTAAAAAACAGAGAGGATGTTTACGTTCGACCCTAGATGCATTGCTTCAGTTAATTCCCAAAACTTCATAGAAAGTAAGAAGCAAGGGAAGAGGGAAGATTAATGTGTCATTTTGATTAAGTCCATAATGTGCTTAAAACTAAAACATTGTCAATAAAGACTCATTTAGCTCAATTGGCAATGGACAGGAAACAGCCTTGCTTGGAAAGGTCTGTGTGCATACCCCCGACCCCGACACTACTTTTGTGGGAATTTACTGGGTTTGTTGTTGTTGTTGGCAATGGATGGTAATATGAATATGAAAATACAAAGCCACAGTTTGGTACCGCAAGCGCAAGATTCTAAAAGCCATATCTTGAACGTCATTCTTTGAGGCTGATCCCCGTCTAGATTTTTTATCCTTCATAACTTCTGATTCAACCTGCAAGCATCAAATAATCAAACTGCACATAAGATACCCAGCTTCCATCAATCCGTATAAAAATGAAACAACAGCATAACTTTGTAAAACTAAAACAGCCAGTTAAGAAAGTTATTTTACGGCTATGATAAGAAATTTTGAGTCATGTACATATCTAATTCTTCATACTAACCTTGGTGAGCTTGTCCCTTAGTTTTTTTGCAATGTCGTATTGCTCCAAATTGAGAGCACACTGCAGTAAAATTGCACATTGGAGCTCATTACTTTGTCTTTCACTTTTTCTACATGTTCCATGGACCGTGGTACAAAGCTTGCCTTAAATTACCCCATTCGTCCCGCAATGAAGTTTACAGTTATTTTGGAATGTCTCACAATAAAGTATACACTTCCTTAGTTTCCTATCAAGGAAAGAATATGTGACCCGTAACATTTCTCTCTTCTAAACATATTTCAACCAAAAATTTTTCATTTTTCAAAATTTTTGTTAAACTCGGTGAAATCAAACTGTAAATTTGTTTTTGAGACGAAGGGAGTATTTAAGGGGCGTATGGTCAGTTAATTAAGACCTGAACTTGCATTGTCATATCAAGTTGGAAAATGAGCATCAATATATCCTCATTGGCACTCTCGCTTCGCTCCATACCAGCAGACTCCTCGTGTTCGCCCCCTTTGAAGAGCCGTCCAGCCTTAACTCTCAAATCCAGTCCTCGTGCAATATCAGTGTGTTGTTGAACAAAAGATATCCGCTTTCTATATTGATTCCAACAACATTGACTTCCCATGCCAAACACTGTTGAGCCTTCAGTAAAATGTCCAAAATACCTTCTTGAAACACATGTAGGTCCGCTAACACTACCACAATATCTAGACGTTGCCAAAATGCTCATATATGTCCCTCGAACCATTTCTTGAACAATCTCCGTTTCACACTCTGCCTCAAATCTTTACACCAAATAAGCACCACCAATCACTAGTCAAAATCTTTTATATGAGTCAAATTCAGGCGGGTTCATCCATCCTGCCATCAAATAAATCACAACAAAAGCAGATGAATAAAGGGTCATAGCATTTGGGATTGATAGAAGTCAGAGTCCAACTAATCTGACTACAACAAACAACAACAAACCCTTCAGAATCCCCAGAAATAGAGTCTGGGGAGGTTGTGTGTACCCCGAACCCTCCGGCACAAAAAACATAGACGGAGTAAAGTAAAAACAAAATCACAGATTATCCATCATTTAAGTCAACTAACGAGATTATAAGATTGAATTCAATCAATTGTCCAGTTCAACTTAAAGTCTTATCAATTCTTTATTCTTTCTATAATTTTCTGATCTGGATAGTCAAAACACTATGACAGCAACCTGGAATTAATTGGGTCGCCCCAAGATCAAATTTTTAGAATGAATCATTCATAACTTCAAAAACGATTTCTCAAAATTGATCGACAGTGCCGTCCAAAACATGCAAAACATAGATTCATCAACTTTATATAGAAACTGAACACCTTCGAAGGGTATTATTCCAGAGAAGAAGAAATGAAGGACAAAAAAGTCTGGTCTTTGAAGAACTTGCGAAAAAAACGAATAAAATTGAGAGATAAATGAAGATACAAGCATTTACGTGTTCAATTGCTGATGGGAGAGTATGAACTAGCTCGCTAAGATCAGTGTAGCAGGTGAGAATGGAGCTTGTTGGACTTCTCTGCGAATTTGAGAGTAATTTTTTTCTTTTTTCAATTAGAGCAAGGGCATGTTCTTTATCACGGAAAAAAACTAGAAGAAAACGAAAAAAATTAAAAAAAACTGAAAAAACTAGAAAAAATTGAAAAATATTACTCCCTCCGTCCTAAAACTTTCTTCTCGGTTTGACTTTTCTCCATTTTTAATTTTTGGCTTTGACTTCAAATTTTACCCTCCTTAAAAAAGATTTTTTGATTTTTTTTTTGAAATCATTCAAAATATAGAGTTAGAAAATAATTGGTGTAAATACATGAGGATATTAATGTCATTTGTCATCTTTTTTTAATGGCAAGGAAGTTTTAGGACGGAAAAAAAGGGGAAGTGGGAAGAAAGTTTTAGGACAGAGGGAGTAAAAAACTTTTTTAAAAAAAAATTATGTGTGGTTTTATATTATTCTCATTCTGATTCTTGTTGTTATAGATTGTTGTTGTTGTTGTTGTTGTTGTTGTTATTGTTGTTGGTGGTGGTGGTGGTGGTGGTAGTGGTGGTGTTATCACGTTATTTTAATGATTGTCTTTAAGATAAAAAAAATATTACGAGTATTATTTTTCATATATAAAAAACTAGTTTAAAAAAATAATTAGAATATAAAATTAGCATAAATATTACACTTCTTGGGTCATTTTTTCTTTTTCAAAATGTAGTTTTCTTTTGGTTTCATAATATTATTCTTCCAAACCCTTAAATGTAATTTACCTTATATAAATTTAGATTAAAAAATATTCTATATAACTATTTATCCATAATTTTTTAAATAGTTCCTAATTTTTCATGTAGATTAATATACAAAAAACGATATTATTCATATTAAAAAGTTGAAAAATTGGAAAAATGAATGTGAATCATAAAAATAGTGAGATGAAAAATGAAATAATTTATAAAATATAGTTATGAACAGAAAAGTTGTAATTTAAAAAAGTTGTAATAATAATAATAATAATATATTTTTTAGAATAATTTGTTAGAAAGTAGAAAGAATTTGAAGAAAATAAATATAGTTGGAAGAAACTAGAAGATACTGGAAGGAACTGGAAGTTAAGAGTTCAAGCTCTAAAGAACAGACCCTAAGTGAAATTTGTAGGTAGTACTAAAACATACGTCATTTTCCAATGTAGGACTAAAAATTTTTTATTCTTTAAATAAGACTTAATAATGACTAGTGAGAAGAATAATGTTCAAGTAATGCTAGACATTTAGTTGAATAATGATTAATAGATTATGACCAATGGTCCTACATTAAGAAATAAAAACATATAGTCCTAATTGAGAAAGTCATTATGTTTTGGAGTCAATTTTTTACTCTAAAGTCAATTAAATTTGGAAGATGCAATAGAAGGGGGTAGAGCGGTGGGTTCAGGGTGGTGCAGGGTGAGAGGTTTTACCGAGAGGTAAGAACTGCCAAGTTACGAACGGAACATTGTACGACCCTCTAGTCATTCCATGACATTGATTAACACTATCAAGGAAACCAGGTGTTTTTCTTCAGAGTTAAATATTACGGAGTACTAAAAAATCAAAGATAAGAGAAATCAGATAGAAAAATAAAAGTTTTATATATGAAGTTTAAATAAGGGAGGAATTGTGGAGAGGATATTCAAATTTAGGAGTTACATTTGAAAAAAAGAAAGTTTTTTTTTTAAATATACCATTATGAAATACTCCCTCCGTCCCAAAAAGAATGAGACGGTTTGACTTTTTGGGAGATTAAGGGAGGGATATTTTGGTATTGACTTTTCAAAAATACTCTTGATGTGATGGGTAAAAGTAGGATGTGATGGGTAGATTATTTGGAAAAAGGTATGATCTGATAGGTAGGGTATGAAAAAGTAAGGGGTAAAAGTGGTTTTTTAATAAAAATGTAACAAACTTTACGGGACACAGTTTTTTCTAAACGTAACAAACTTTTTGGGACGGAGGGAGTAGTAACTAAAGAATGATGTGATCGTGGCCGTGGCTACAACGCGACTCACTCAAGGCGCTCACACACGTAAAGGGGTGATGTTCACTGTGATCGCACTTGACATAAAGTGGAAGTGTGGAACATAAAAAGTAAAATAAAATATTCCCTCTGAATTGGGATTTTGGTGAGTAAAAATAGAAAAAAATTCTTTTCTTTTGAATTATACAAACCAAATAATCATATCGAAAAATGACATAGGCATACATATAATGTATATGAAAGGTAACCATGCAAGGATAGACAACAGAATATAAAAATTTTAATATCCTAACATGATTATCTTGCCCAGAATCACGTACTAAAACATATAGTAGTAAGAAATTTATACTTTTCTCCGTAAGCAATAAAAACGAAGAAGTAGTAGGAAAAGCGTTGAAAGTGCAAACATAACCGTTCAAGTGTCCGGTCTCCAACTTTGACACACGAACAAACGCCGGAGTCTACCACAATCTTTATGCTAGTAAAGATTATAGCAGTATAAAATATAAAGTTTAAAATTTGGGATAATAAAAATTTTGTATATTTCTTATAGAAAATATTTTTAATAATATTTAGAAAATTTTATACATATTTTTGATACATAAAATGATATTAATGAAACCAAATATAAAATTTCTCTCACTAAAATCCCATGGCCGAAATTCCACACTTCACAAAAACCATAGCCCAAAACCCCTTTTTATGTTTTTAATGTTGTGTATTATTATTGATCAATAATACACTAAATCTCAAATATCCTTAAAAACAAAGTCAAAAGGAAATTAGACTTTATTAGTATCACTGATGGGCCGATATCCAGAGGACGGCCCAAATGAACCATTTAAACAGCTTCGGGTCAAGCACCTGTGGAATACTCAAGCTGGGCCGGCCCAAGGAGCTGGGCCTAGTTAATCTCAGGCCAAGCGCAGCTGGCAAAGCCAGCCCGGAGCAGGAGACGGAGCTGATTGGCCGTTACGGAGCCGGAAAAAGGGGATCGCGCCCTTGGGCGGGCGAAACTCTATCGGTTACGCCTCACCTTAATGGTGGAGAGCTCGTGTATAAGTAGAAGGGACCCGAAAGGGGAGAAGGGAAGCTAAATCAAGCTAGTAATACACATCCAATTCTCGAATTCTTGTTCTTAATTTTGTTCTTACGATCCGCTCTGTAAATCGGATCATTTGGTGGATTTATTGTCCATCAAATTGGTGCTCTCGTTGAGAGTTCGAGAATCATACTCGGAAGAAATCCTCCACAACGACGATGGTGCAAACACGTAGCAACGCCAACGTAGGTACCGGAGTTCCCCAGCAGGGGGAGAACAGCGCCACCGGAGGTCGGCACCCCCCATCACCACAGGGGAGGCTGAGGCCCTCATTCAGAGGGTTGGGATCACGACCGAACAATTCAAGGAGGTGCTGGCCGCACTTGCCCCCAACCGCGAGGTAGTGGTGGGAGATGTGGCTGGGGGACCCATGGGCGAGAAAGCTGGGCCTGCGGGCTCCCAAGGAAAAAAGAAAAAAGTGAGGCGGTCCCAGAAGAAGAAGGCGACCAAACCCAATGGGAAGGCTATGATGGCGGATGCGCTTTCCAGGCTGGAAGAAGAGGACGAGTCGTCCTCCTTCGAGCGAATGTCTGCTTTTGACCGTTTGGGAGATCCCAAGTCGAAGAAACCTCGGACCTCTACGTTCGAAAGGTTGCAGGACACTCGGTCGGCCCGAAAAGGCGACTTGAGAGACACGCTCAAGGAGAAGAGAGGGGAGTCCACAGCGACCTCCAAGGTCGGTTCTGAGGAGCGACGGACGACAGTCGGGGATAAAGGTGCAGCCGAGCTGTGGAAAATGTACGAACAACTGGAGAAGCGGCTGGATGCCCAGAACCCCTATCGCCAGGCGGTCTTCAGTGAGGTAACGCCCTTCTCCAGGAGGATAATGTCCTGCCCTCTCCCAGATAATTTCAAGACTCCCCAGATCAAGGCATACAATGGGACGACCGATCCCCAAGACCACCTCGCTCGTTTCGGGGCCAACGTGGTCATGTACGCGTATCCAGAAGAAATCAAGTGTCGGTGCTTCCTGGCGACACTGGAAGGGCAGGCTTGTGAGTGGTTTCACAAGTTACCCAAGGGGTCGATAGATAAGTGGGGCGACCTGGCCCACAAGTTCTTGGAGCACTTCGCGTCCAGCCGGAGACAAAAGCTCCCCTTCTCGCATTTGCTCAATGTGAAGATCCGGAAGGGGGAACAGCTCCGGGAGTTCATTAATAGGTGGGAGAAGGAGGCTAGGGATGTCCAAGGGGCGGACGACCAAGCCCTGATCGCCATGCTCCAAGCTGCACTCCCCCAAGGGGATGTGCGTAAGGAGCTGCGACGGAATCCTCTCTCGACCTATCAAGAGATGTTGGCCAGGGCGAAGTACCTGGCGCTGGAAGAGGAAGATGATGAGCCACCAGTCCGGAAGGAGAAGAAAAGCGGGCCACCGGTGGCAGAAGGAAAGAAGAGGAAGGAATATGGTAAGGGGCCGAACCCCAC